CGGTTTCGACTGGGCTGACAGCGAGGACGGGTGTTGAAATCGACGCTGTCATCCCCCGTTTCATGCTGTTTCATATTGCTCTCTTCTCTCTTGCTGGACCGCAACCGTTTGGCTTACAGAGCATTCGAGTTTACGGGCAGAAGCCATTCCCCTTTGCCCGACGGCGGCGGCCATCAGTTGAGAGAAGGAGGAGGAACAGGAGGTGGTAGTGGAAGAGGAGGAGGATGAAGAGGAGGAGGAGGAGGAGGAGGAGGAGGAGGACGAGGAGGAGGAGGAGGAGGAGGAGGAGGAGGAGAATGAGAAGGAGGATGGGGGGTCCGACTCACAGACCAAACGTTGAATCACAAACCGCGCGCGCCGAATCACAGACAACAGACAGTGAATTACAGACTGCGCGCGCCGAGTCACAGACAGCACGCATTGAATCACAGACCGCGCTCGCCGAATCACAGACCGCGCGCGCCGAATCACAGACAGCACACATTGAATCACAGACCGCGCGCGCCGAATCACATACAACACATTGAATTACAGACTGCGCGCGCCAAATCACAGACAGCACGCGTTGAATTACAAACCGCGCGCGCCGAATCACAGACAGCAGACATTTAATCACAAACCGCACGCGACGAATCACAGACAGCAGGCATTGAATCACAGACCGCACGCGACGGTGACTTGCTGATCCGGCCAGATGATCCGGTGACCCGGTGTTGTGGACAGCTGATTTGGTGATCCGGCTGATCCGGCAGATGCGGCTGATTTGGTGAGCGGGCCAGTGGATCCGGTGATCCGGTGACCTGGTGTTGTGGCCAACCGATCCGCTGATCAGGCTGATCTGGCCAGCTGATCTGGTGATCCGGTGTTGTGGCCAGCTGATCCAGTGATCCAATGATTGAGGCCAAACTGATCCGGTGATCCGGCTGATCCCGTGATCCGAAAGAGCGTGTTCTACCGCTGCTGGCGGAAAACCGGGGGGGGGTCACTACCGGTTCGAGCCCCCCCCCCTCCAGAAAACCGGGGGGGGGGTCACTACCGGTTCGAACCCCTCCCCCCCGCAGTCCATCATGAAAAGGGGGGGGTCACTATCGGTTCGAACCCCCCCCCCCTCGAAAACCGGGGGGGGTCATTACTTGTTCGAACCCCCCCCCGTCGAAAACCGGGGGGGGGTGCGGACAGTGGTGGGGACGGTGGTGGTGGGGACAGTGGTGAGGGGACAGCGGGAGAGTGGTGGGGACAGTGGGACAATGGTGGGGACGGTAGTGGTGGGGACAGTGGTGAAGGCGGTGGTGAGGACAGGTGGGACAGTAGCACGGTGGGGAAAGTGGTGGGGACAGTGGAGACACTGGGACAGTGATGGGGACAGTGGGGACGCTGGGACAGCACAGTGTGACAGCGGCGGGGACAGTGGGACAGTAGTGGGTACAGTGGGGACAGTGGGACAGTGGTGGGGACCGCGGGGAAAGTGTGGAGAGTGGGACCGTGGTGGGACAATGGTGGGGAGAGTGGGGACATTGACACACTGATGGGGGCACTGATGGGGACAGCGGGGACAATGGTGGGAACAGTGGGGACAGTGGGGCAGTGGTGGGGAGGGTGGTGGTGGGGACAGTGGTGTGGGGACTGGGAATGTGGTGGAAACAGTGGGACAGTGGAGGTTATAGTGGTGGTGGAGACAGTGGTCAGGGCGGTGGCGAGGACGGCGGTGGGACAATGGGACAGAGGTGCAGTGGGGACAGTGGTGGGGACAGTGGGGACAGTGGTGGGAACAGTGGGACAGCTCAGTGGGACAGCGGAGGAGACAGTGGGACTGTGGGGACAGTGGGGATAGTCGGGCAGTGGTTGGGGCCGTGGAGAAAGTGGGGAGAGTGGAACCGTGGTGGGAACAGTGGTGGGGACAGTTGGGACAGTGGGGACGGTGGTGGAACCAGTGGGGACAGTGGTGGTGAGGACAGTGGTGCTGGGAACAGCAGTGGGGGATGTGGTGCGGACGGTGGTAGGGACCGGAGAGTCGTTTGCTGGCGGTGGGGTGGGTGGGTGGGGGGGGAGGGTTCGAACCGGTAGTGACCCCCCCAGTTTTCGAGGGGGAGGGGGGAGGGGGGGGGATTCGAGGGACCCCCCTGGTTTTCGAGGGGGGTAGGGGGGGTGTGGGGGGGTTCGAACCGGCAGTGACCCCCCCCCGGTTTTCGAGGGGGAAGGGGGGGAGGTTCGAACCGGTAGTGACCCCCCTCGTGGTTTTCTGGAGGGAGGGGGGGTGGGGGGGTTCTTCGAAACGGTAGTGGCCTTCCTCCGGTTTCTGGGGGGGGGGGGTTCGAACCGGTAGTGACACCCCCGGTTTTCCGAGAGGGGAGGGGGGGGGGTTCGAACGGTAGTGACCCCCCCCGGTTTTCTGGAGGGGGGGGGGGGGAGGGGGGAGGGGATTGGGGAGGGGGGGGGGGTTTTGCTGGGGAAGGGGGGGGGGGGGGTCCAGCAGGGGGGGGAGGATTTTCGGAGGGGGGGGGGGGACCCCTGGGTTCCGGAGGAAGAGGGGGGTGGAATTTTCCACAGTAAAGCGGCGGTGGATCACGCTCTCCGTGATCCGAAGACGTATGCGGGCGGTGGCACTAGGGCCTTCGGTGGAGCTCCCTATGGGGCCACGAAACGTGTGAGGGGTGTGACGGCATGGGTGTGGATGACGCATACTGGCGGTGGCACTGGGGCCTTCGTTGAAGCTTCTATGGGGCCACGGAACGTGCGAGGGGTGTGACGACATGGGTGCGGGTGACGCGTGCGGGCTCGCGGCATTGGCGCTTTTAGTGGAGCTCACTCGGAACGCGTGAGGGGTGTGCCAATTCTGCGCATGCGGGCGGTGGCACCGGGGCCTTCGGTGGAGCTCCCTTTGGGTCCACGGAACGTGTGATGGGTGTGACGACATGGGTGTGGGTGACGCATGCGGGCGGTGGCACTGGGGCCTTCGGTGGAGCTACCTATGGGGCCACGAAGCGTGTGATTGGTGTGCCGAAATGGGTGTGGGTGACGCATACGGGCGGTGGCATTGGGGCCTTCGGTGGAGCTCCCTTTGGATCCACGGAACGTGTGAGTGGTGTGACGACATGGGTGTGGGTGACGCATGCGGGTGGTGGCACTAGGACCTTCGGTGGAGCTCCCTATGGGGCCACGGAACGTGTGAGGGTTGTGCCGAAATTGGTGTGGATGACGCATACGGGCGGTGGCATTGGGGCCTTCGGTGGAGCTCCCTTTGGATCCACGGAACGTGTGAGTGGTGTGACGACGTGGGTGTGGGTGACGCACGCGGGTGGTGGCACTAGGACCTTCGGTGGAGCTCCCTATGGGGCCACGGAACGTGTGAGGGTTGTGCCGAAATTGGTGTGGGTGACGCATACGGGCGGTGGCATTGGGGCCTTCGGTGGAGCTCCCTTTGGATCCACGGAACGTGTGAGTGGTGTGACGACATGGGTGTGGGTGACGCACGCGGGTGGTGGCACTAGGACCTTCGGTGGAGCTCCCTATGGGGCCACGGAACGTGTGAGGGTTGTGCCGACATGGGTGTGGGTGACGCATGCGGGCGGTGGTGGCACTGAGGCCTTTGGTCGGGTCCCTATCGGGCCATGAAGCGTGTGAGGGGTGTGACGACATGGGTGTGGGTGACGCACGCGGGCGGTGGCACTGTGGCCTTCGGTGGAGCTCCCTATGGGGCCACGAAGCGTGTGAGTGGTATGCCGAAATTGGTGTGGGTGACGCACGCGGGCGGTGGCACTGTGGCCTTTGGTGTAGCTCCCTATGGGGTTACGAAGCGCTGTATTGGGTGGGAGAAACGCAGGGAGGAGGAGGGGGAGGAGGGAGGAGGAGGAGGAAGGAAGGAAGGAAGGAAGGAAGGAGGCGACGCGGGGACCGTCTCTTCGAAACGAGGACCCAACACCACAAGATCGTTGGGAAATATGAAAACCCGGAAACCCGGGTCCCGTTATTGAAACTAAAATCCGTTAGTACGGAAACCGATGTACTTTGATGGAAGCCCATTTGTGTCCAAATATGCGGTCTGTGATTCGTCGCGTACAGTTTGTGATTCAATGTGTGTTGTCTGTGATTCGTCGCGTGCGGTTTGTGATTCGTCGCGTGCTGTCTGTGATTCGGTGCGCGCGGTTTGTGATTCAACGCGTGCTGTCTGTGATTCGGCGCGCGCGGTCTGTGATTCAATGTGTGCTGTCTGTGATTCGGCGCGCGCGGTCTGTGATTCAATGTCTGTTGTCTGTGATTCGGTGCGCGCGGTCTGTGATTCAACGCGTGCTGTCTGTGATTCGGCGCGCGCGGTCTGTGAGTCAATGTTAGGTCTGTGATTCGCAACCTGCCGGCAGGAGGAGGAGGATGAGGAGGAGGAGGATGAGCAGGAGGAGGACGAGGATGAGGAGGAACAGGAGGTGGTAGTGGAGAAGGAGGAGGACGAGGATGAGGAGGAGGGGGAGGATGAGGAGGGAGGGAGGGGGGGGGAGGAGGGAGGGAGGGAGGGAGGAGGGAGGGAGGGAGGGAGGGGAGGGAGGGAGGGAGGGAGGGAGGGAGGGAGGAGGGAGGAGGAGGAAGAGGAGGAGGAGGAGGAGGAGGAGGAGGAGGAGGAGGAGGAGGAGGAGGAAGGAGGAGGAGAGGAGGAAGGATGAGGAGGAGGAGGAGAAGCAGGCGGAGGAGGAGGAGGAGGCAAAGCAGGAGGAGGAGGAGGAGGAGGAGGAGGAGGAGGAGGAGGAGGAGGAGGACGAGGAGGAGGAGAGGAGGAGGAGGAGGAGGAGGAGGACGATGAGAAGGAAGAGGAGGAGGAGGGCGAGGATGAGGAGGATGAGGAGGATGATGATGATGATGATGATGATGAGGAGGAGGAGGAGGAGGAGGAGGAGGAGGAGGAAGACGAGGAGGAGGAGGAGGAGGAGGAGGAGGAGGAGGAGGATGAGGAGGAGGAGGAGGAGGAGGATGAGGATGAGGAGGAGGAGGTGGGCTGGATCACTCCTCGGCAGGGGCGGCCCCTGCACCCCGACTCGGTGCTGTCCCTCTGGCTGTCCGAGCTCGCCCACGCGCTGGCCCACCTCGGCACAGGGCCTGCCCACGACGAGGCCTTCCTGCGGGTGCAGGCCGAGCTCCTCGCGGCCGCTGCGCCGGCCGCCCGCCATGCTGCCCGCCACCTCTGGGAGGCCGCGGGCGTCCCGCCGGGCGCCCCGCTGGGCGGGCCTTCGGGCGGCTGCCGCGGCGGTGCCGCCTACTCGCTCGGTGCCGCGGCGGGGCCTTCGGCCATGGACTGGCCGCCTCAGGTCGTGGCCCAGGCGGGGCCCCCACCGGGCCAGGGGCCGACGCCTCACAGCTCTGCGGGGCGCTCGGACCGGCGCCCCGTGCAGTCTCGTCGACGACACGTAAGAATGACCCTTGGACCGGAGTGACCTTTGGTGCGAGCCCACTGGGGTCCCCCGATCGCCGAACGCGATGCGGTAGTACTGTCTTGCGCGCTTGCGTTCGGTCCCCTCGCGGCCCCCCAACAAGCCGCGCACCAAAGGTCACTCTTACCCAGGGTCACTCTTGCGTGTAGTCGATATCGGTGTGGGGGCTGGCAGGCATAGGAGAGGCAGGATCGGGATCGGGATCGGGCTCGTGGAGTTCGGGCGTCTGCCCTGAGCCTTCGCGAGGGCCTCGGAGCTGCGCCGTCCGTGAGCTATCGGTGGCGGAGCTCGGGTGGCCGGCATCATGACAGCAGGGGCAGGGAAGGCAGGAGGAGGAGGTGGATGATGATGATGATGATGATGATGATGATGATGATGATGATGATGATGACGATGACGATGACGATGACGATGACGATGATGATGATGATGATGATGATGATGATGATGATGATGATGATGATGATGATGATGATGATGATGATGATGATGATGATGATGATGATGATGATGATGATGATGATGATGATGATGATGATGATCAGGAGGAGGAGGAGGAGGAGGAGGAGGAGGAGGAGGAGGAGGACCAGGGATATCAGAGGAATCCAAGGATGCATCAGCGATTTTGCCGTACACCCTCCCGTCAAAGGTCCCCTCAGCATAACTACGCATTTGCAAGATTTTATTTTTGACCACCTGGAGCGCCCGCTTGAAGGACGACCGCCTCAGGGGTCTGCCATCCAGGCGAGGACACCGCTTTGAAAACATATCATATCTGCCCTCCATCTAAGTTGGAACGGTCAGCGGCAGGGTGTAGGATCATATCGAAGACGCCTACGGCGAATCACCGCCGCCCCCTGCCTTTTTGGAAGCGCCTATGTGGCCGAACGTTGAGGCCAGACCTGCCAAGCTATCGGACCACGTGTTCCCCGAATCGGTTTGGAAAGCCTTCGGGGAACACGTGGGCATCTTGAAGGTCATCTTGGCCGTCTTGGAGGCCTCTTGGGCAAGCTTTGGGCGATCTTTGGGGCTTTTTGGGCCGTCTCGGGCCAGCTTCGAGCCAACTTCGGCCATCTTGGTGGGTTCCTGGCACGTCTGAAGCCGTCGGAAGCCGTTTGGGGGGCCTCTATGGGCCGACTTGGGGCCCGCTTGGAATGCTCCAGGGCCGTCTTGGAGGCCATCTTGGGCGTCTGGGAGGCCATCTTGGGCGTGTTGGAGGCCTCTTGGGCCCTCTTGGGGCCCTCTAGGGGCCATCTTGGAGGCCACTTGGGCCATCATGGGGCTCTCTTGGGGGCCTCTTGGGCGATCTTGGGGGCTTCTTGGGCCGTCTTGAGCCGTCGGAGAGCCGAAAAGGCGCAAATGCCAAAATCCTTCAAAAACCAAGGGAAATCAATGATTTTCGCCTCTTCGGACTCTCCTGGAGGACCTCTTGGAGGCCTCTTGGGCCGTCTGGGAGGCCTCTGGGGGGCCTCTTGGGCCGTCTTGGGCCGTCTTGGACTCTCTTGGGCCGTTTTGGAGGCCGTCTTGGACCATCTCGGGCGGACTTGGAGGCCATCTTGGGCCATCTTCGCGATTTTTTGAGGATGTCCCGAGCGAAACGGCCGTTCTTGGAGGATTTTTTGTGGTCGTTGAGCACGTTTGGGGAAATTCCGGGTGGCCGGCGGGTTCTGCCGGAGCCCACTGGGAAGTTCTTTTGGAAAAAGAACCAAAACCAAAACCTGAAACGTCCAGCACGCCGTGCACCCCTGCAAGCAGGGGGCGGCGGATCGAAGACGCCTACGGCGAATCACCGCCGCCCCCTGCCTTTGTGGAAGCGCCTATGTGGCCGAACGTTGAGGCCAGACCTGCCAAGCCATCGGACCATGTGTTCCCCGAATCGGTTTGGAAAGCCTTCGGGGAACACGTGGGCGTCTTGATGGTCATCGTCGCCGTCTTGGAGGCCTCTTGGGCGATCTTTCGGCGATCTTTGGGGGCTCTTGGGCCGTCTCGGGCCGTCGGAAGGCCGAAAGAAGGGAAATGCCCAAATCCATCAAAAACCTTGGGAAAATCAGTGATTTTGGCATCTTTTGGCCTTCCTGGAGGCCCTCTTGGGGGCCTCTTGGGCCCTTTTGGGCCAGCTTCGAGCCAACTTCGGCCATCTTGGTGGGTTCCTGGCACGTCTGACGCCGTCGGGAGCCGTTTTGGGGGCCTTTCTGGGCCAACGGGGGACCCTCTTGGGGCGCTCCAGGGCCGTCTTGGAGGCCATCTTGGGCGTCTTGGAGGCCATCTTGGGCGTGTTGGAGGCCTCTTGGGCCGTCTTGGGGCCCTCTAGGGGCCATCTTGGAGGCCACTTGGGCCATCAGGGGGCTCTCTTGGGGGCCTCTTGGGCGATCTTGGGGGCTTCTTGGGCCGTCTTGAGCCGTCGGAGAGCCGAAAAGGCGCAAATGCCAAAATCCTTCAAAAACCAATGGAAAATCAATGATTTTGCCCTCTTCGGACTCTCCTGGAGGACCTCTTGGAGGCCTCTTGGGCCGTCTGGGAGGCCTCTGGGGGGCCTCTTGGGCCGTCTTGGGCCGTCTTGGACTCTCTTGGGCCGTTTTGGAGGCCGTCTTGGACCATCTCGGGCGGACTTGGAGGCCATCTTGGGCCATCTTCGCGATTTTTGAGGATGTCCCGAGCGAAACGGCCGTTTTTGGGCACGGTGGCGGGACGGGCCGGAGCCCACTGGAGAGTTCTTTTGGAAAAAGAACCAAAACCAAAACCTAACAGCTCATCCAGCACGCCGTGCACCCCTGCAAGCAGGGGGCGGCGGATCCAGGTCCCCGCGGCAAGTCCCGCCACCGTGCCAGCTCAGCCCGTTGGGAGGCACAGCTTCGAGCGCCGAAGGCCGTCACACGTTACACCTTGAGTCTTCGTTTCTTGATGAGTTCATCTCGGCCGCCTTGGGGCTGATTTGGGCTCCCGTGGGGCAGTGCTGAGGGTCCTTTGGGTCCCTCTTGGTCCGTCTTGGGGCCGTCTTGGGCCTCTCTTGGGCCGTTTTGGGGCCATCTTGGTCGTCTAGGGGCCGTTTGGGGGCCGTCTTGGGCGTCTTGGGGCCTTCTTAGACCTCTCTTGGGCCGATTTGGGGCCATCTTGACCGTCTTGGGCCGTTCAGGGGCCTCCTGAGGCCATCTTGGGTCCTTCTGGAGGCACTCTTGGGTCCTTCTTCAACATGCGAACACAAACACGTCAACACTTCGCAGGCATTCCCAACCAGGACTTCCCCCTCCTTTCCTCCTCCGTGATAACTTTTTGTGTGTTGCACAATCTCATAGCTTGTTGTATATCTCGCATTTCCAATGCATGTCTGTACGTCTACAGGAGGCTATGCCCTCACCCACCTGGTTTTTTTTTTTTTCCAGACCCAGACAGCTGTCGACTGTGGTGGTTCGTTCGTTCGTTTTTGGGCTCTTGGGACCGTCTTGGGCCGCCTAGGGGCCTGTTGGGTTGTTTTTGAGGCAATACTGGAGGATTACTGGGCCATTTTGGGTCTTTCCTGGGCCGCTTTGGGGCCATCTTGGAGGCCTCTAGGGCCGTCTGGAGCTGCAGGATGCCCGAAAAGACTAAGACGCCCACATCTTTGAAACAACTGAAGGGATATCCGTGATCTGGGGTCTCTTCGGGCCCTACTGGGGGTTCCCTTGTGGCCCCCTCTTGGGCCGTCTTGGGGGCCTCTTCGGCCGTCTTGAGGTCAGCTTGGGCCGCCTTGGGGCAGCCTTGGGCCGTCTTGATGGCATCTTGGGGAGAAGTAGTGGTCTTGGCTGCCCGCCTCGGCCGTCCTGGGAGCTCGGGAGCGCGGATCCATTGCTCTTTACCAGGGATCGTGGCCTCGGGAGGGCGGACCCATACAACAAGGGATCGTGACCCCGGGAGAGAGGGCGATGCAAGCAGCCAATACTGGAAGAGGGGTGGGGGCCCTTGAACATAGACCCTAGCAGGCAGCTCTTGGCATTCTGCCACGCCTCAACGTGCCAGGGGTCACCGGCAGATAGCTTAAAACAGTTAAGTAGGAGCCCCCTCTTGAAATGCAGCCGCCCTCCATCCGTCTCATTGATGAGCACTTCTCAGTCCTGGATCCAAATCAATACGCATCCCAATCGAGAGCCCTACTGTAAAATGGCGCTACCGTTCATCAGTGTAACCGTTGCGCGCTCTTTGGTTGCGTATCTAGATTTCGAAGGAAGGTTCGAGCGAACACCACATTTAGAAAAATGGTGCCCTGCATCCGAGTAACCGTTGCAGCTTGTGAGTACGAATGTATGGCAGCGCTCAGGTGGAAGCCTTCTCTTGAATTCCGACCGAATATATTGGCGCCCTGAGACTCCATGACCTCCGATATCATTTCCGAGCGCTTTTCTTAGCGTCTTAAACGTTCACTTCTTCGCAGACGTGTCGGAGCGCGAGCAGCGGCGCTCGGGGGGCTCTAGCACGAGTCAAGCTCATGGTTTGGCCGGGCCGCCTTCGGGAAGGCATCGGAAAGGACAAACCATGTAAAGGAGTGCGTGCGCGAAATGATGTACCTGCGTGCCTTCGACAGTCCAGCTCACCTGCCACACGGCTGGCACGGCTTCTCGCGACATCTCAGCACGCAAGGCGAGATGCCGCAACAGGTCGATGATGCAGATTGTTCCAGGCTTTCCCCTGCGTGACTTGCCCTGTTTGAGCATCGTGTTGAGTTGGTGAGGTGTCTGCGAAACCTGGCGTGAGGTGGCCCGGAGTCTCCGGCTGCCGTGTACATACACAAACTCGTTACGCTTCGCGTATCCCCAGCACTCCGTAGCCCCCCTGGCTCAAGTACGAAACCGTCGCCCTGCGGCTTCGTGCTTGTCTGCTGCCGAGGGGCTGGCCCGAGGCGTGCGCGCCTGCAGCAGGCTTTCTTTCTTCTCGCACGATCCCCACGGTGAGCCCTCGCG